GGCATTATATCCCTTACTAAGCTAAATTCTCCTTTCCGTGTTACCGGGAAAGGGGGTCGGAAGTATTTTTGCGTAGACCTTCTTTTTGCGTTGGCGGACTTTGGTATCGCTTAGGGATTATAACTCTTTCTAAGTAGAATTCTCTTTTCTGTGTTGCCGGAAAAAGGGGGCGGAAGTATTTTTGCGCAGAACTTCTTTCTGCGTAGGCGGCCTTGGGCCGCGCTTAGGGATGTTAACCCTCACTAAATAGAAGTACATAATTCATATTAGAAAAAACGAAATTATCCATATGCATACTTTCGTTAGGAAACCGAAATAATGCTTATAACAAAAACTCAAATAATGAATGCATGCTCAATTTGGTTGAAAACCGAAATAATGCATATGAAAAACCCGAAGTAATGCATACATGCACAGTTTCGGTTGAAAACCGACATAATGTCTAAATGCACAGTTTCCATATGCGCGACTTCGGTGCCCAAAACAAGAGCAAAATAAGAACACTTGTTTTATATAGGCTTTTTATGAGTTTTTCTTTAAGTTAATATATACGTATGTATGGTCTAATTTAGAATGGCTCTTTTAAAACTGCTTCTTTATTAAAATTCAGCGGTTTTCACCACTAAAGGTCACATATGAACATATTATAAAATAGGTAGTATTATTGTAAATTGGTTGTTTTAGTCGTGTCGTGGCCTTAAAAATAACGGCTAAAATGTAACCAAACATCTACTCGCCTTCAGGTCTTCCAATTCGTCTTTCGGACTTTAAATACCATTTAAGATATGTATATAGTAGTAACAACATAGAATACAAAATTGCCTTGTGAAAAATTACAAAAGTTTACAGAAATAAAAAAAATTTTCCGACCTGCGGCATGTTTATATGAATTCTAATACAAATATTCGGTTTTATTTAGCTTTACCAGTTTGGGTCAAATTTAGAAAATTATAAATAGAATATTTTTAATTTTTCACTTACTTTGTGGGGCTTCACAACCCTCGCGCTTAGCAGTATCCGGCCAAACGCACGTTCCACCAAATTCATCAAAGTGTAAGCCAACCGTACACTTCATTTCCAATGCATCCCCATCAATACAGTTGTAGAAAATATCACACACGGAAGAGTCAGGATGTGCGAAAAATCCGTGTTTTCTGGGACAAAATTTCGTAGATTTCGGTTCTTCTGCAATTTATCGATTTATTCAATACATAAATGTAACTAATAAAGAATACACATATTCATATACATATAAAAATAATATTTTCTTAGAAAAATGTATTACGCACGTATTTGACCGTTCAAATGTGAGTATGTACGTGTAAGTGTACATACCCTGCAAAAAGGTACTAGGTTAAATACTAGTACAGGACCACGCTACCTTGTAACCAACACTAGTAACACCCTCTGGTCCAACGCTGCATAACATGGGACCACCCAGACAACTACTCCTTTTGAATCATGGCACATTCGGCAGCCGAATCATGTTGCCGATGGGGCACCAAGAGGTGGTTCTCAACACATATACCAGTTTTTTTACGTTTGAAGCAGTGATGGAAAATCGAAATTTAAAATTGTGCGGAACTTCTCCAGAAAAATGTAGGTCAATGTGCCAATAAATTGAAAGTCGTCGATAGGTACTATTTCCCTTATAAAGTATATTTACAGTACTTATTGCGTATAAGAGAAACAGGAGTCTTACGGAAAACCTTTCTTTAAGCAACAACAAAACTACACAACAACAAAAAAACATAAAAAAAGTTTAAAACTTTCTACAAAAAATGTTCATTCAAATGTAAAACTTTGATGTCAGAAGTTTTAGAAAACAAGGTGCAAGTGAAGCTAAGAATTCGCATTGATTTTGAATGCTTTTTTTTATTTCTTTCTTTCTTTTCTTTTCTTTTCAAAAATCAATGCGAATTGAATGGACTATAAAACACAAATGTAAAAAAGATACTTTTAATTGCGGATCCGAAAAAAATATATATCAGTTGCATTGAGTTACGCAAAAATAGTGCCGAAAATCAATCGATTGAGCTTGAGGTGCCGTCTGATTCTGAAAGGGCCGAAAATGGCACAATGCACACTCATTTTCCATCACTGGTTTGAAGTGGTCCAGGCCAGTGCCGATGGGGCACGAAGAGGTGGTTCTCAACACATATATCAGTTTTTTACGTTTGAAGTGGTCTAGGTCAGCATAACAAGTTACTAGTATGCAACCTGGTCTTTTTGCACATACATATGTACTTTAAACCAACGACCCAGTGTACCACCTGTTCGAAAAATTTTTGCAGGGTACGCATCTCAAGCATGCAGAGCGGTGACAACACACACATACATACATAGTACATTTCCTGCAAAAATTTGAGGACAAGGTGGTCCACTGAGTCGTAGATTTAAAGTATGTGCAAAAGGACCAGGTTGCATACTAGTAACTTGTTATGCTGACCTAGACCACTTCAAACGTAAAAAACTGATATACATATGTGTTGAGAACCATCTCTTCGTGCCCCATCGGCAACATGACTCGGCTGCGGAATGTGCCATGATCCAAAAGGAGTAGTTGTCTGGGTGGTCCCATGTTATGCAGCGGTAGAATAGAAGTGGTCCCATCCGTGGTGTTTATCCGTACGAATCGCGTGGTGTGGTGTTGATGGAAATTCAACATTTGTAAGCACGTTTGTACCTGAGTGCACAGAGATCCTTGCCACAATTTGTTGATATGCAGGCAACATGCAAATTAGATATATATATTTTTTTGTTTTTATCTTGATTATACAATTCACAGGTGCCTTTTTAGGACGAACGCGGTCATTTTAATATGCGCGTAATTGAATTGAATATTTACCAATATACAGTACTTTCGTTGACGTTTATAGTAAGATCAATTACGTTTCTGATTGATTCTAATATTGTTTTCCTCAGTGTACGTGATAATACATATTCAGGCTGGTTCTGTAATTCACTTCCAAGTGAATTTGAGTCAAATTCGCTGTGAATTTATATTCCAGGGGTTGAAATTCACTCGGAAGTGAATGTCAGAAGCAGCACGATTAAAAAGAAGTAAACTAAAAAGGCGGTGTATACTATTAAACTTTAAAATAAACGCACAACCGGAGAGAATATCGCACAAGACTAACTTCTGGCTTCCCAGAACCTTTATTTATGTTTTACATAAATTCTTATTCTAAATACATAAATTATCACTTATCCTACATACATATATATGTATATACTTAACTCGAATAAAACAATCCTTATTACTTAGTTGACTGCATGCACCATCGCTAGCTCGACCAAGGCAATGCAATCCACTTGAACAATATCATAATTAATAGACTCAAAATGTATACATACTTATTTATTTGGGGTCATATTACTTACAATAGATGTTCAAGTAAAAAGCGCTTTTACTTTTATGTGTATAATATATGTACATGCATATTTACACAAGTATTACATTATATGATAAGCACATCTATGTAAATGCATAGTTGCATCGCTATTCTTGGTATGTGCAGATGTGGTAGATGCAATCAACCGAATACCCTAAGGACCAATGCATTCGGTTGTTGTTTATATTTTTGTACTACTTCTGGCAACAAATTGTGTTGTTGGTTTAGGTTTCCGATAAGAAACTAAACAGGTGGGCTGTTACCGTTCCGATTCTAATAATGCACTTTAAGCTGTACCTAAATACATATTGTCACCAACAAAGCAAAATGCCCTCTTTGATTCAATTGGTTAATTTTTTTCCTACACTGAGGGGAAAAAATATTAAAATCAAATAGAAACGTAATTGATCTTACTATAAACGTCAACGAGTGTACAGTACATTAGTAAATACGCAATTCAATCACGCGCATATTAAAATGACCGCGTTCGTTTTGAGAAAGCATCCGTGAAGTGAAAAATTAGACAAAAACTAAAAAAAATATTTAATTTGCATGTTTGCTGGGTGCAGGTTTTCTTGGGTGCAGGTCTGTATATAATATCTGTGTTCATATGGAATAGTAGCTTATGTCGAAAGGCTGGCTTTAGTATAATGCGGCATTCGCAGAATACGATTGCGAATGACTCACTGGCGTCGACCCGTTGAAGAACTTTTGGCAAATAAACGTGCAAGAAATAGTTCTAATGCTAGTAAGTCAATATTCTTATAGAGTCTTATCAAAAAATTCCTTTTCGTTTACATTATTCATATACAAAACGAATGAATGCCTAGCAAACAATTAGGTGTGATATACATTTGAGAATGATTTGAAATCAAAGCCTATCTCAAATGTCAAACGTTTAAAAATGATTTGATATTGATTTGAAAATTACAGCTTTCTCAATAAAAAGGGGAGTTTCATCTCCATTTGAGAATATGGTTAACTCTCAAATCAATTCCAAAGGTTATTTATCAATTGTACTTCAAATATGGAAATAAAATTTATTATTGGAAGTTTATATTTCATATTTATTTTTTCTTCGCGATGTACATACATATGTATGTACATAACAAAAAAAAAACAATTAAGATAAAGTAATTTATAATAAATTCGTCTTGAAGGGCTGCAGCTTCTTCAATCCGCGCGCAAACTCCAAATCCACTATTTGTGGGCTTTCTCTTTGAACATTTTTTTCTATTCAATGTTTTTTTTCAATTGATCTTAATTTTATTCTTACAATTTTTGATTTAACTGCGCATTATTATATCGTGTGGCACTTGCCATCTTTCTTCAAATCAACATCAAATGAATTTCAAATGTAAAATTTAAAACTCGTTTTCAATTTGAGAATCATTTGAGAAAAACACTTGATATCAAACTGAGAAATACATTTTTCTCAAACGTGTTTGCTATGTGACTTTGGCTTCAAATTTTTTTCAATTTCAGTGAACACCTGTTCTGAACACATTACAATATTCAAACAAAGTGAAAATAAATTAAATTGAAATAAATTACAATTTTTTGTATGAGTATCCAAAAATGTTTTTTCTATGTACATATGTACATATAAGTGCATATATGCACAAACATACTTATGTATGTATATATGTATTTCTGCGCTCCTATAACAATCCCACTGGGAAAATAGGTAAACACCTTACGAGGTAAGCCAGTTGAAAAATAACGTGCAGCCGAAGTTATTTCTAGGCGCCGAACTACTCCGAGCGACTGCTCTGCATTACACGTAGCTTACTTTGTAAAGCGGCTCAGAAGCATGTCTGATACCAAATGTACATTCTTAATTCCTACTTACATAAGGCGCCCACGTCTTTGTTAAAGTAAGGCAGTAGCGGCCGCCTTATGTAAGTAGGAATTTAGAATGTACAATTGGGAACAGACATACTTCCGAGCCGCTTTTCAAAGTAAGTTAGGTGTAATGCAGAGCATTCGCTCGGAGTAGTTCGGCACTTGGAAATAACTTCGGCTGCACGTTATTTTTCAACTGACAAGGTAATGTGGCGTCGGAGGTGTTCATTTTGTGCTTTACTAGTAGATGACATTGGCCATGATGACAATTTTGGTACTAAAAACTGAAAGAAATCAGAAGAATCGTAAGGCGCTTACCTATTTCCCATTGGGATACTGACAAACTTGTTTGTAGAAAAAAACTTTTACAGAAATGAGTTTGAATGATTTGAATGTTTTTCATTCATTCATTCACATTCTTCCATTTGAAGCAAGGCGAATTCATATAAGGTGGTTCTGCTAGAACAGCTGCTTTAATTCGCCTCGGTACACATATGTCAAAACTCCTTATGAGTGAGTGAGAAAGGAAGAGTGTCGGCATTTTTCCCCTCTTCCTCCTTGAGCGAAAAATAGCTAAGAATTTGATATTTGTGTACCGAAAGCGAAAACAAAATACATGTTAGTTTTTGTTTTTGTACTACCGCTACCACCTTATATGAATTCGCCTTAATTTGAAGGTAGAAAATTTAAAACAAAATGTATATTCATAAATTACAAAATTCCAAACGCTGAGTATTTTGTATGTGAAGTAAAATATTACAAATGTACTATGCTCTGTTTGGCTAGAAGTTTGATTGAGTTCATGCAGCCCTCTAATATACAAGCATATATTCATATACTTCTTAAAATACAGATTGTCCCAAAATTTTTTAAACTTACGCAGTTCAGTTCGATCACCACAGTCCACGTTGAACGGCTGATCGCACTTATTAATATGTCTGTTAAGAGGATCGAATACCAAGCCATCTGGACAAAGTTTCTCTTTCGCCACATCGTCATCACATTGGTAGTACTTGTCACATTGGATATCATCGGGGAACTGGCCCTCGGGTTTGGGGCATTGGAATGCACCTTAAATGACACCATAAATATACATACGTTCATAAGTAGATACATAAGCAAGTTTCCTGAAACTAAAAATTTCATAAAAACCAAAGTGTTACACTTAAAGTAAATTAAAAGAAGCCCGCCTTATTTATTCTTATGTCAATATCGAAACATTTTCTGTAGTAAAATTAATAAGAAATTAAACTGCGGCAATTTGCATTTCTACGCTATTCCACATATACACACATATGCATGCAGTGGCGGACTTGCAGTCTTGTCCGCCCTAGGCCCTATAGTACCAGCCGCCCCTTTTCCAACTCCCATTATTTAGGTACTATGTATGTACATATAAAATTTATCTTTTGCCGACTTTTATTGAAATATATTATCGTTTGTTTTTGTCTATCTGCCTTTAAACTTATGTAATTTTTATTTAGTTCATTTATTTTTAATGCCGATATTTCGACTTCAATCTGAGGTCATCTTCAGGACTGTAAGTACACATAAACACATTATATAAAACGTCAGTTATGCAAGACTTAGACTTGACTTGACTTGAAAATTGTATATCTGGCAAATGAGCAGCGTGTGTGTAGTTACCCAAAAGAACCACTTTACTTAGAAACCTGGAGAACTATAGATTTTTAATTTCTAAAAGCTCAGTAATGCGAGCTTAGACTTGACTTGACTTGAAAATTGTATATCTGGCAATGAGCAGAGCGTGTATGTATACACATGTAGTTACCCAAAAAAAAAAACAACTTCACTTAGAAACTTTGAAAACTATAGATTTTTTTATTTCTAATTAAAAATTCTAAGTACAAAGAGAGCCGTGAGAGCATCATGCTGCCATTTCATTTTTTAATAAAATCCCTACAAAAATTACACACAAATATAATTTTTTGTATAAATGTAATTCATCTGGCAATCGAAAAACAAACCTTCAAATAAAGACAAAAAATAAAATAAAAACAAGTAAGAGCAGCGCTGTCTTCGGCTATGCCGAAGGCTTCATACCTTTCATGAACATCTGCAAATTTTACTTTGACAGATTACTGCTTTTGAATACATCTGCTTACATCGATAGAGGAGTTACATTCTTATATAAAAAATCGCATCTAAACAATCAGAGGTATGGAAGATATACTTTATATGGCACCAATCTAAGTGATTTTCACTGCTATGTGATCGGTATGTAAACCGGTAACACAATTTATTGGGTTTAGTTTCCTACATAAAGGAGATATATGGCAAAAACTGGTATCTGAACAATCAGTGCTATAGTAGATAAAGCTTATACAGCATATGATTTTCTCAGTAGACTTTGTATTATTATTTATAAAATATCTTACGAAATTTATCGGTTTTAGCTGTTCAAATAAAGGAGTTTTACCGTAAAATCCCATATCTGAACAATCAGATGTATGGAAGATATATGTTGTAGTCAACCGATCCTTGTTATATTCACTATAAGTATTCTGTAAATAATGAGTGAAAGTGGTGCGAAATTTCATGTTCCTAGCTGCATAAATGGAGGAGTTATGATAAAAGACCTCATATCTGAACAATCAGTTGCATGGGGTCTGCAGGTTATAGTGACCCGATCTTTGTTATTTTCACTGTAAGTCTTCTGTTGATAATGAGTGAAAACAGCGCGAAATTGCATGGTCCTAGCTACATAAATGGATGAATTATAACGAAAAATCTCATATCTGAACAATCAGTTGTATGGGAGCTATAGGTTATAGTTACCCGATCTTTTTAATTTTCACTGTAAGTTTTCTGTTGATAATTATTGAAAACAGTGCGGAATTTCCTGTTCCTAGCGATATAAATGGAGGAGTTATAACGAAAAATTTTATATCTGAACAATCAGTTGTATGGGAGCTATAGGTTATAGTGACCCGATCTTTGTAATTTTCACTGTAAGTATTCTGTTGATAATGGGTGCAAGTACTGCAAAATTTCATGTTCGTAGCTGCATAAATGGAGAAGTTATAACGAAAAATCTCATATCTGAACAATCAGTTGTATGGGAGCTATATGTTATAGTGGTCCGATTCTTCCGGTTCCGACAAATGATTAATACATTATAAAAATACAACCACATACCAAATTTGATACGGATATCTCGAAAACTGAGAGACTAGATTGCATACAAACAGACAGACAGACGGACAGACGGACAGACGGACATGGTTAAATCAACTCAGCTCGACGTTCTGATCATATAAGTATACATTTTAATGGGTCTATCTCTTTTTGTTCTGGTACTTACAAACATCGGACCAAAGTTATAATACCATTTCATGCTCATGAAAGGTATAACAATCACAATTTGATTCAAGTAAATACATGTATTTTAATGGTAATTTTGTATCAATTTTGGCGTAGAAACAAATTAAACGTTTACAATTTTACGTGTACAAATACAAGTGCTTAGAATGAACACAAAGAGAAAAGGTAATAGGTGACACGTTGAGTAATCACGTCTAAGTTTCTAGGTAAGTCAAGTCCAAAAGCTTGATTATGGCAACTTAACTTAACTTAACGCAACGTAGTACTTAGAGAATCAAAATGAAACAGATTTCGACGTGGCATTAAGTTACGTTAAGTTTCGACTGTTCAAATATAAGCAACACCCATATAACAGAATTTTTAAGAGAGAGCCGTAAGTTACGTTAAGTTGCCATAATCAGACCATAAGGGTCTGATTATGCATACTTCGCATAACTTCGCACAACTTCGTATGTATTCCATTACCCAGAAATTAGCAGACCTTTTAAAAACTTAGCGATCTGTTGAGTTTAGATTTTGCTTCACATCTTCTTAAGCTGTACTTTTAGGGCACTGGTACAAATGGTTGTGCGAAGTTATGCGAAGTATGCATAATCAGACCCTAAGTCTTGCATAACGCAGCTTTAAGTTAAATTTCTAACTAAAAAGAGAGGCGTGAGAGAATCATGCTGCCATTTAATTTTTTAATAAAATCCCTACAAATATACCACACAAATATGTATAATTTTTTGTATAAATGTGATTCATCTGGCAATCGAAAAACAAACTTTCAAATAAAGACAAAAAATAAAATATAAAAAAGCTTGTAACAATCACAATTTGGTCCGCGTAAATACATTTATTTTAATTGTAAATTTGTATAAATTTTGGTGTAAAAACAAATTAAACGTTTAAAATTGTACATGTACAAATAAATACAAGTGCTGAGAATCAAACAATAGTTGCGATCCCTAACTCGCAAGAAGTTGCAAAATTTACTGGAATTTACCAGAAAGCGTTCCCGTACTCGGTTCTCTGGCTTCTTTTGCTTTTTGACGGTTTTACAGGTTTTACTCCCGTACTCGGTTCTCTGCTTCTTTTGCTTTTTGACGGTTTTACAGGTTTTAACCCAGAAAAGTTGGGGAACTCAACTAATAGGTGACACGCTGAGTAATCACGTCTAAAAACTGGATTATGCAAGACTTAGACTTGACTTGACTTACCTAGAAAGTTAGAAACGATTCCTCTCCGTGTCATCTATTGCCTTTTCTCCTTTTTTTTATCCTCAGCATTTGAATTTGTGCACGCAAAATTTTAAAGGCGGATTCACCGTTCGTGTCGGACACTTTTAGTAATTTTACGCGTGCCTTTCCCACCTTGTCTCACTGAGACACGACACAAATTTTCTGAACACTCTTTGTTCGAATCAAATTGATTTTGATTTTCGGTCCGAACGACTTGATGATTCGGGTTGCCTCGTTCTCCCTTTATATGCGTTTGCAGCCAATTGCATGTATTATTTGCCCTCAAAATCATATGTAGGCAACAATATAATCAGCTATTTGCTACAGAACAAAATAAAATGTGCCGAAATGAACGGTGAACCGTACTTCAGCACCCTCTCCAACAAAAATGTATTGAGAGCAAATAAAAAGTTGTCCGGACTCCGGACATGATCGGTGAACGCGCCTTAAACGTTTAATTTGATTTGGGTAAAATGGAATAAAAATTCCAATTGAATAAATGTGTCCAAGCGTATCAAATTGTGATTGTTTTTATTTTATTTTCTGTCTTTATTTGGAAGTTTGTTTTTCGATTGCTTGATGAATTTCATTTATACAAAATATCATATTTGTGTGGCATATTTAGAGGAATTTTATTACAGATATGTGAAAAAATGATGTGGCAGCATGATTCTCCCACGGCTCTCTTTACACTTAGAAATTTAACTTAGAAATCAAAAATCTATAGTTCTCCAAGTTTCTAAGTGAAGTTGGTTTTTTTTAGGTAACTACAAACACGCGCTGCTGATTTTCCAGATATAATGCTTTCAAGTCAGGTCATGTCTAGGTCTTGCATAAATGACCTTTAAGTTAAACAAAACTTACACCTTCGCCTTGGTTGTACTCGGTCGACTGATTAAGATATAAATGGGCGCGTTTATAAGACGTAGCTGTTGCCCAACCGTTGGCTATTTGTCTTAGAAACGCACAGTTGAGTGGTTCCGCTCAGCTCAACAGTTGGCAACTTTCCACCTGGGCTTAGCCTAAACAGCTGATCGAAAAGACTTACGCCGCTTATATTAAATTTAACGCCGCTTCGTTAGGTGGCAGTTGCAAACAAATTTATTGTATTTTATATTACTGATGCGATGATGTGTGTGGAGGATGGTTCCGTGCGCAGAAGTGGAAAACTTTTGACTGTCATTCACCTGGGAGTGGCCAGAAGCGATTCTTGTGCGTACGGTTTAAATCGCAGCTCACAACGTCCGGATATTTATATCCACGTATCCTCTGGGTAGCAACCAAACACCCGTTTGGGAGCGAGCTAAAGTGAGAAGGCGTAAAACTTCGCGTGCGCTGGGTTTGGGTCCCGCCACGTTAAAACCCCGCCCAATGAAAAAAAAAACAGCCTCGGATGAGACCCCCTTTTTCTGATGACGACCACGGCAAACGTATAAAGGACTATGATTTAAGGGTATGCACCTGGAATATCCGGACCCTTAATGGGGAAGGTGCCTCTGCCCG